TTTCTGGTGCTTTCACTTCCAGAGACAGTTGTATGCACTTTGTAACTGCCTCGAGGGTGTTTGACCATTTTAACACAACGTGGTGCGATCATCCCCCTTGCGCGGAGTGAGGGTTCTCCACCCCGCACAACATGATCTACTCGACCACTATTATGGCTACCGCCAAAAAAAAAATAGAGGCAAAAAACAAAAAACGGTATCCTGGTTGTCGAGTTCAAGAAGTGAATTGGCTTGTTTTACAACGTCTTTGCCAAGCAATGAAAACCCAATCCCGATGGCAAACACCGAGGGGGGGGGGGGTCAGGGGGGAAGCAAAAAACTCTCCGAACGAGCTCGCTCTCCCCCGTGTCCACAGTCGGAATAACAAGTGTTCGACTAAAACTCGTGAGATCGATTTGAAGGGCGCCTCTGGCACGGACGGAATGCGACACACAATTTCTCATGTGGCGGGAGCGTCGTAATTCAGCGCATGCTCTTAAGAGCAAGAAGGAAGCAAGCATCAAACGCTCGTGTGCTTCGGTCCCCCTTGGGGCAAAAAGAACAGACAACACAACACATAGCACGAGCACCTACAGCACTGTTAGACCCTGGGGTTACCCCCCCTGCGGAGCAACAAAAAACGGCATGCTGCGAATAGATTTTTTTTTTTTTTGTTTGAAGGGGGCGCACAGACAGCAATCCTACTTACTTGAGCAAAGACAAGGAACTGGCAATCAAAAATGCGCGAAGACGGTGAGGAGATGGCTCTTCTCAATCTACAATCACCTGTAATTATGCTATAGCTAGAGAAGTAGCGAAGCCGATTTCCGTTTGGTGGTTGAAAAATCCCGAAACGACGGAAATTTCGGCTGTTGACGCAGCTGGCGCGAATACCGAGATGAGGGTCAAAAATCGCCTTCGCTACTTCTCTAGCTCTGGTTTCTGCGCACACAGCTAAAAAAAACGATCCCCGATTGACCTAGAAGCCGACGAGTGGCATTGATTACCAGATCACCTCCTATGGCTACTTGTAAGGGCGGTGGTAAAAACAAGGGTCGCGTCAAGTCCAAAAAAAAAATCTTCAAAAACTTCACGACTTCTCTTCTCGAGAGAGAAGGATGCACGTTTGCGGACGCAGCGACGGCTGGGCGCGCACGCAAGGCTGCCGAGAAGGCCGACTACCCTACCCTGAAGCGTACGGCCGCTGCTACCCTCGAGAAACTCAAAAAAGCTCAGTTGGCGAAGCGTAGAGAGGCTCGAGTCCGCAAATCGGCGGAGCAGGCCGCAGAAGAGGAGCGACAACTGTTGGCGCGAGAGCGAGTCCTGCGCGCCGATCTGAAGAAGGAGCTTGGGGAGGAGCAGCGACGTAGAATCGAGGCGGAGCAACGGGCGCAAGCAGCGATCGCACGCGAGCAGGCCTCGGAGCATCAGAGGCAGCAGCAGAGGGCTGCTGATGGAGAGGCGGTGGCGATCGTCCTGACCCAGCTGGGAAACTTGCGGTTGGAGAAAAAAATGCTTCAAGATCAACAGCGCGAGATGGTTGAGATTTTTTGTCCACAAGCGGCAAGCGTGATGGCGGTGCAGCAACAGCAGCACAACCGGAATCCGCTGCTTTCCGCGAAAGACCAGCTCATCCGCACCCGGATGGAGGTAGAGCAAGCGAGGAGGGAGCTGGAGGCGGCGTCGGCGTGGGGAAAGGTTGCCGAGACGAGAAATGCTAATTTGAAGAAAAAGGTGCGTGCGTGCGTGTGTGTGTGTCTTTGCCCTCGTGTGTTTTTGGCTTTGCTGTTCCCTTCTAGTGCGACTACTTCGTATGCCTCCGAGTCCTACAGGTTGATAGAACCAACATAAGCAGGACGATACCAAGAGAGGCAGGCGAAGCTGCATGCAGCTGCTATCATCGACAGACTTGGTGTTGAGAGCGAGAAAATACAGCAGGAGCAGCAGCAGCGCGCATTTTTTTGTTTTCCCGCTCTCACAACCGCCCTGCTGTTTGCCCGTTGCCCTTTTTCTTTTTTTCGGCAACAGAACGGGCGGGTCCGCCGTCGAAGCGGGCGGGTTCGCCGTCGAACCGGTGGGGTCCGCCATCTATGACCGGTCGGGCTGTGGGGCACTGGCTTTTTGTGTGTGCCAGCAGCCTCAGTGAGCGCAGTGACGGGTGTCCACCTCGCGCATTGCTGCGTGAACGCGCTTGACCATATTTGTCCAGTCTGTTCGTGTGTGTTCGTGTGTCTTTTTATTTTGATTCAAATTCCGAACGTTTTTATTGGTCCAAGAAGGAAAAGCGCAGTCTATTTGCCACGAAAAGTTCACCCGGTTTGGGACACATTTTTGGCCTCAAAATAGGGGTAACCCCAGGGTCTAACTGTGAGAAGATAAAAAATCGACAAATGGGAAGATACGACACATCGTGAAGGCGCTGGCATGCGTCTCGCCTTGCACACCGTATCCTGAGATTCACAACGACGAGCGATTGGCTACACCGACTTCAAAATCAACCCCAGCCTCCTAGGGATGGATGCATTCTCTCCTTGTAACCCCAAAGTCACACGAACCAAATCAAACTGGAAAGGGCACCACGAGCTGGCTCGCTCGAAAACGGCTGGGGGACCCCCTCGAAAAAAACAAATGCACGGCACCTCACCAAGAGGATACACGCTCGCGAAGAGCATGCTCTTGGACGGCTCGATGATGAGGAGAGGGGAGGGTGGGGGCGAGGCCCCCGCTTTGATGATGGTGTCCCCCATGGTCGCCTGTCGGGTGGAGCGCATTCCTTGTGGAAGAGGACAAACACGACAAACCAACAGGGGTAGCGACGGAGGGTTAAGGGCTGTGAATCGCCCTTTCTCCGAATGCACGGCAACCGGCCGCCCACCGGTAGTTATGCAGCACCTGCCTATGGTGAATACACGCCACTTTCTCAAGGCCGAGACGCCACCGATATGAGACACCGGCACGCTACAACGCGAGCATCGTGACCTATCCCTCGAAACCACTTCCAACACTTCCCCAGAGACTAGAAAACCAGCTACAACGACATCAATACCAACATCCACCCAGCAACAACATTCACAGCAACAGCAACCGAACAGCGCACCAAGTAAACCAGCACCATCAACCAACACACTACGCCACCTCCCCCAGCCACCCACCCGCGATGATGTAGCCAACTTGCCCCGGGTATAGCGCCCCTGTCCTCGTCGGTGCCGGCGTCAGGAGGCCCACCTCCTGCACCGAGAACGTCTCCGAGCTCATCGATGGGGCAGGAGACCCGCTGCCCGCGGCGTCCGAACCGGAGCCGGAGGCGGAACTGGAACCATACTTCAGATGGAACGGAACGACTCGATCTTGCTCCGCCAGGCAGCCATCCACGACTTCTACCAAGCACACAACGCCTCTGAACGGAAGGGGAGGCGTGCGGGGGGATCTTCGAGTCTTGATTGAGACATGGATTGGTTGACGGGGAAAGGGACTGAGATGCCTTGGGGTCGGTAAATGCTGCGTGCTAGCCGATATCGAATGCGGACCCACCGCAAGACAAAATCGGTCACACCACCATCGCAATCAACAGCAGCAATAACAACAACAACAACAACAACAACGACAACGACAACAATAACAACAAAAACAACAACATACAACGTAGCAAACAACAAAACGAGGGACGCGAGTGACTTCAAGACACACACGATTGTCGCACACGGCTTCCTTCCACAAACTCACCGGATAGAATCATACCAAGAGTCCACCAGCCGTGCCCTCAGAGGAGCAGCAGGATCCACCTCTCGGGGTGGCGGGGGCACCCTTTCCACGATAGCTCTCAACACCTGTTTCGTGATCACCGTGTTAAGGGATGCGACTAGGGTAAGGGGATTAGTACGTGGATTGGCGCGAAGTCAACCATGCCGAAATGACCAACTCCGTTCTTCATCGGTGTGAGACCATCTCAATGATCGCTCGCAAACACCTGGCGCATGCCGTCACTGCAGGAATTTGCAAGGGGACATCGAGGGCTAGGGTATGAAATGGTGCGATCCCCGTCTACTCGGAAACGCCGCCAGCCTTGTATTCGCAGGTAGTGTACGTGGCGGTGCGTTTTCTCGTTCGGAAGTAGTGGTCGTGAGGGCCCAAGGGAAGAGGCCACGATACCCCTCGCCAAAAGAAAAACGGCAAATCAACACACCCACGGGTGTCGTTAGGCCCCGTCAGATCAAAGAGCATACCTTCACAGCATCAACAACAATCAGGCTTGCGCATACACGACACGTCTCGACTATGTGCTGTGCGTAGTTATTGCTGCTGTCGAATCATACGCATACTCCCAACAGCGCTGAATGTAATGTTGCAATCATCGTGTGGACGAGCATATGTCGCTGCACAAGGGTGTAGCTCCTCCCCGCCGTTCCCGTGCGGTGCAAAATAACAATCTCGCCTCATCAACCCCATCTCCAGTCTTGGCCGAAGTAGGAATGACGTCATCCGGGTCCATATCAAAAGTGGTCGCGACCGACAGTATTGCGTCCTATTAAACGAATCAGCGGCAGAGTTCGGGTGGACGGGCCAGTGGGTGCATGGTCAAAGCTGCCAGAAAAAGAAAAATGTTGGGGTTCGAACGCCCAGAAAAAGGTTGGTGTTGGCTGCGTGAAAGGCTTTCCATGTGCGCAGTAAGAACGGAAGATCAGCAGGAAAATCGTGTGGCACTTGCGCTCGATCTGCACCCCCATGTTTAATGGAGACAGACAACGTTTCACAGAAAAAGTCGGCCAACCAGAGCATTCGCGCGCCGCCTCCTCGACGCGTCGGCTGTGTCTAATGTTGGGGCGCGGGACAAGCGTAGGGTGTAGGGCCACCGACACGGGGCAGTACTACTTATAGCTGACGCGCAAAGGTCGTGTCAAAGCCGGGAGTTGTGAGGCTCAACGTGCGATAACGACTAACCTGTAGCAGTGGACGAAGAGAGATCAGACCAAACATTTTCGAGCTCGAACCAAACCCAGATCATCCACTCCACTTCCCGCCCTGAGTCGGCGAAGGCCCCATCTCAACCCTTCCACGCCATGTATGCATGCCGCATGCACCGCGCCCACTCCTAGAAGCGACAAAACCCAGAACAGCAGCGGGTGCAGCATCACTCGAAAGCAAACAAGAGTCTTATTCTCAACACTTAACCATCAAACCAAATACTCGCCTCGACGTTGGCGTGGTGCAGGTCTATCTTGGTCACCACGGGCACGAGCTTGAGCCCCGCCGCCTGCGCCGCCTTCGCAGTGGAAAGCGTCTGTGCCTGAACCCCCTGGGTGGCGTCTACGAGCAGTAGGGCCCCCTGGCACGCTGAGAGGCTCCTCACCACCTTGTCGCAGACGAAGGCATTAGGGGAGGTAGTTTCGTTTCGTACGTGGAGTATCGCCGTAGCTGCAAGTTCTGGTTTCCGATCACTGTGAACATCATCCCCTTCGAGAAGAACCAGTGAACATGTGAGATAGCGCTGTTGAGGAAAACAGAAAGAGACAGCATGTGGCAGATATTGGGCACGGCGCCGGTGCATGTGATTGTGCGGAGTGAATCACAGGGGCGTTGGCGACGGTTCCCACCGAACGACCAACGCCATCGCGAAAACCTCGAGCCAGCCCGACTTTGCACGTACAAATCAATCACCAACATTTTTGTTTTCCCTGGTGAGCATCGGTGCTGCTGGAACTGCTGGAAAAACAAAAGCTTCAAACGCGAGGCGGCGACCAGCACCGTCTGCTCTCTACAGAGCAGCAGGAATCAACAGGAAGGCAGGAAGCTGACGTCATCTACCTCATAGCTGAAGTCCACGTGGCCGGGCGTGTCGATGAGGTTCAAGAGGTGCCCGTCGTGTAACATGCTCGCTGTCTGAGCCTTGACCGTGATCCCCCTGTCCCGCTCAACCTAAGATCGAAAACGAACGACAAATCGGGGAGGCATCGTTGGTGTCTTCACACACTATCTATCCCTTGAAAGATATGCCCACCATCTTTGCAACATTCATGACACATGTTTTAGAGTCACATACATGTTTAAGAGCCATGTTTCATTGTAGCCTTCATTGCTCTAACTGCCTACGCCTCATGTCAGAGAAGGCGTATTCGTGGAGAGCGGCCAACTTGCTGTGCCCCTTCTTCATGAAGGGAATAGCACTGCTGTTCATGCGCGCGGCGTGTCGGGTATACCATACTTTGAGCGTGTCGAGCATCTGGGGACTACCCCTGCTGTCCTTCGCGCTGATGGTTCCCGTCCGGACCAAAAGGGTGTCGGCCAGGGTGCTCTTGCCGTGATCGATATGCGCGATGATGCTGGAAGCAGGGGCAAAGGGAAAAACCCAACGAATGAAGCTCGATATTGTAGACGTTGTTGCGCCTACAAGGGGAGCGCCGATGAAGTACAGGGCAATCCACCTTTCGCTCGTGGAATGAGCGTATCGTGTCGTAGGGTTTCGAAGGGAATGGACAACTCCCGAATCCGTGCGGCGTGCAAGTGCTAAAATAGGAGGCGAGGGAACGCTGTAGTGTACAGCAAGCAGCGGTGTAGAGATCTACAGTAGAACATGTGTACTGGAGGATGTAGCGCACAACAAAGGGCCCTCAGAGGCCCAGCTTGTTTCACCTTCCGCACGTGGAATGTGCTTGTTGTGGAAACCACAACATCCGCAACGCCACGGTATTAGGCACGGGGCGAGGCAGATCCAAGATGTACTACAGTCCTGACAGCAACCTTCTGACCTCTGCCCGTACATGTTTTTAAGTTTGCTCTGCAGCCAGTGCTCCTGTACACCATTTCGCACACCAAATTTCTACGTGCTCCTCTCCGGCAATCGATGCCGTGTGGACCTACTGCGCACCTGAAGTTGCGTATCAGGCTAGGGTCAAACCCCGACAGCATGTCTGGCTGCCGATGCAAGTCGTTCACCGTCATCTCCGGCTGCCGTCCTGCAGCATCGGAAGAAGAATTCGTGCTGCACCATCGGACGGCCACATATACTCCACGCAAGGGCGCGGCTAGTCCACCCCTGAGACCTTTCGGTCCTGTTACCCACGCTCGGAGCACCATGCTAACTCTGCAATGGCGGCACAGCACAGCTCTGCGGCCTTGGTGGGCGGGACGCGGCGTAATTAGAACCTCGGAGTTGCTTGATTTCTTGTTGGCGTTCTAGTTTGGCGCGGGACTGTTCAGGGATACTTCGCCAGCCCCGTTGATGCCAGGCCGCCCGCCCCCACTACCTGCGTAACCTTGTGTAACCAACAGAGCAGCGTCTTAGTCAGCAGTCAAGAGGGCGCTGTACTCCAGCTCTGTTTGGTTTCTCGCCACCCCGCTGTACTGCTGCCAAAATTCTCGCATCCCCCGCGACAAAAGCAGCGCTCCCCTCAGAAACTCATGGGGCCCAAGAAAAAGCAGTGGAACGGGCACTACAAGGCCAAGCGGCCCAGGGAAGGGGAGCAAGACGGCAACGGCGGCATCGGGGACGAGCGTCCGAAAAAGCCTCGACGGACGGTAGCGATAAGCCTTGGGAACGTGAAAGGCCACCAGGCCGTCGTTGGCACCTGTGATGTTCGGCACGATAGACAGGCAACAGCGGAGCTGGTGGACATGCTAAACTCGGTGGCCGAAGACATGTACCCGGAGACTAACGGGGGCGATGAGGCGGCCGAAGATGTCACGCCAGCATCACCTGTCGCCCCCACGCCGAGCGCAGAAGGAAAAACTGGCAACGGCGATAGCGATGGGGCTGGGGCATCAGCGCCCTCGGCAGCAGCACCAGCAGGAGGGGCGGCCGAAATGTCTGTGGAAGAGATGGTAAAGCAAGAGGCGGATGCGCTGCGGTCCGGGAGCGACAAAGCCCACCGGTTCAAGTCCGTCAACACGTCCGTCAAGGGTGTGGTGATGGTGTGTGTTATGGATCCGAAGGTGGACATCTTGCGGCTGGTGGACGCCCTCTATGAAGAGATAAGGACGACCAAGATGCGCCGGAGCCGCTTCCTCGAGCGGGTGACGCCGCTGCAGGTCACGGCGTATTCCGAGCTTGATGCAGTCAAGGAAGCGGTCGGACCCATTGTTTCGAAGGCGCTGCCGCCCGTCTCAGAGGGAGTGCCACCGTTACCGACAGATGTTAGAGCTTCCGGTGCCAAGGCCACCGGCCCTGTTGACTCGAAGACTGAAAAGGGAACGCCGGCACCGAAGGTCAGCGGTGGTGTCAAGGTCAAAGTAAAGGAGACGGAAGCAAAGGAAGGTGAATGTGCGGCAGCGAGCGCACCAAACGGCACCGGAGATAAAGCAGGGGGAGGAGCCGGCGCTGCCACCCCAGGAGCTGCCGGCACCAAGGAGGGCGATGACGTCGGCGAGGGCAAAGAGAAAAAGACCTGTGACAAGAGGTGGAAGTTCAGGGCGGACATAAGGAGGAGAAACTCAGGACTGAAGCGGCTCGACTTGATCAATGCTGCGGTGGGGTCTGTGGGCGTGGGGCACTCAGTGAACATGACTTCTCCGGAGGTGATACACATATTTGCACTGCAGATGTCATGTTTGTGTCACTCTCGTACCGCTGGTCGTAGTTTTTTCTCTCTCGCTGGGTTTTTGCAGCCAATTGTTGAACGCATCGTGGAGACTTACATTCACCGACCTGTGATGAGGTGTTCAGATAGCTTCATTCGTTTCCGACTTCACATAGGACGGATTTTCAGCTACTTCGATGCTTCGTGTCGTTAGCAGAGTTTTGCCTTTTAGTAGATAGCGGGGAACTTTCATATTTTAAGTTCCAGCCAAGATTGGCAGGTGAGGTGTAGGTCTCCTCCATGGCGAACCGTGGGTCTGTCCTTGAGAGCTTTTTCACATTACCGTCGCCTTGCGAACATCTGGCATTCGTTGTTTTGTTTGCTTTCGGGTTGTTTTCTGGCACCGTAGACAGGACTGTCGTTTGCCCCTGGTAGAAACCTCATCGCCCATCAATGCTCACAAGTCGCTGCGAACGTCAGAGTATATACTCTCTCTTTCCCACCCCGCACACACGAGGGTATACTCAATTTTATCACCCCCAACGCACTCTTGACACGTCCGCCTTGTCTTCCTGTTATTGGTGGCCCCAATCTCCTTCGCAGGTGACCATCGTCGTAGAGGCCGTCAAGTCGGTCGTCGGTGTGAGTGTGCTGTTCAACTACGCTCGGAACCACGAGTACAGCATAAGCAGGCTACAAGACGCCGTGTGTGGCACCATTCTCGACAGCTGAAGATGGGGACGGAAACCCCGTCGTTTGGTGCATTTTCGTGTTTCCCTAGAGGTGTTCGGTTTTTTTTTGGAGGCTGTGTTGCTGGGGGGACACAAGACCTTCGCAAAAGACTGCTGTCCGTTGATGAATCGGTGATTTGTTTATGTGGGCGTTTGACCGTGTTCGCATGGGACAACGCCGAGAAGTCTCAGTGTAGAGCATCATGTTGCTAATGATGCCGTATGTGTTTTCTTTTTGGCTGCGTTTGCTGGAGGAGATTGCGCCATTCCAGGCGCGGACATGGACCAGGCTTTTTCTCGCTTCAAGATATGTTTCAACACATACGGTGGTCGCAGCAACATTGCTATTGGTTTTGCCTTGGGGCAGTCACCGAAATGACCCTTTCTCATCATCAATCATTTGACCAAATCTCGCTCTTTCTACTCTAGTGGCTGTGGGGGCCTCCAGCGTTGATCGCCATGTGCCCAGCTCGAGCGTAGGAGCACCCTGAGATACAGTGCGGTGCTGTGGTTTTCACCCCCCTGGGTGTTGCCGTTAAGTCAAGTGGCGAGTGGTTGGTCATGCTGCTCCCTCACTCTCTCTTGTGAGAAATCACCGTTGTTCCCGGAAGCGCTTGGTTGTAGATGGCACTACAGTAAATTGTGTCATCATATGGGTTATGACAGGTTAAGCCCTGTGCAGCTGCCACGATTGTCCACACCTCGGCATACTCGCCGCCGCCCCTCCCACGGCAATGTACACGCACAGAAGGAGGAGAGTGCAGTCGCCCAAGTGAATTGATATTGTATTCCTCACAAATACATGAAAAAATTGACGGGTCGACATTTGTTAGCTGCCACGAAAAACTTGGATCCCAAGGGGAATTAAGAGAGTTAATTTCTCAAGGGAGGAAGCACCCCTTGTCCGACGATGACGAACTGACAATTCCAACACTGCCAACACATCAAACACGATTGCGTTAAGCTCTTGAGCCCCCGCCCTTTCCCGACCCCCAACCAGACCAATAGTTGCCCTCCTTCGCACCGCTGGAAGGTACATATTTTACACTGCTATCGACGAATGCACACAACACCTACTTCTAGCACCCACAAAACTTCACCCGGCTAAAAACCAATCAGCAAGTGATGTTATGCGACAATCAGTCCGTGAGGTTGCACAGTGCGGCTACACCAAACATCACCCACACGTCCGGGCTCACGTCCGTGGGCAGCTCCACGGCGATGACGAAGTTTGTCGACATGCCCGTGGTGCTGAGCACTCCCTTTCTCTCGGCCGTCTTGTATACGGGGCACGCGTAGTCCCACTCCGCTGTCTTATGCCCCGCCGCGGGCATGAAGTGAATGAGCGGGAGTTCCATGTACATCTCTCCGGGGTGGGACTCGCGGAGCTTCCAGGCGTCGGAATCCCACCTCGCGCCTGAGCGAAAGACCCAGTCGACCCGGGTGTTCGAGTTGAAGAAAAACACGTGTTGGTATTTAACCTTGCTGACGTTCTCACGTGTGTTTGGGTTTTTTTGTCATATTTGACGAGATCTACTTACGTAGGTAGTCCCAAACAAAGAGGAAGAGGTGGGCATGTGATTAGGACCTCTGGGCTACAACCAACCAGAAGATATTGTGTAGTGGCCCTTGGCAATTCGTGTCATGTAAGCGATGTCGTCATACCGACAAAATGCAAAGAACGTTTGAAGTTTGCTCTTGCCTTCTAGCCATAAGCCGTGACAGTAGATTCCGTCGTCAGGGCCTTCTGTGACGTCAGACGGGTCTTCTCGCATCACGTCAAATTTGTAAGTGAGCGTGTCGATGGCCACCTAATACGTTTTGGTGGGGTTGATCAATCGCGGTTGATATTCAGGTACGCTCGCATCTGATACTGGTGTTCCTGTTGACTATGTTCTCACATCAACTCACCGTCCAGACTCTCTAGGCTTCACAAGCCATTCCAATACGATGCAACAAGCAGGACCATACGCCTGGCAAGAGGGTTAGAAGAAGATGAGGTTCATGCAGCTTGCCACGGCAACATTCACCACACGGTGGTCGCCTTCTGCAGCCACACTGGTCTAAGCGTACAGCTGCGCGGCAGCCGTGTTGCGAGGGCATCGCCATTTCGCTAATTTCCATCGTGAAATGAACCCCATCCCATACTTGGGAGTTCTTTCACGGGGTGTACCTGATATTTTCGCGCAAAGGTCTGCAATGTGCCGGTCATGAATCCCTGGGGAAAGAAGAATACTGGTAAAGGGAAACACGCTGGTTGCCCCTCCTTGAGCCAGCCACGCATGAAGATTACCCTGATAAAACAACACAAAGTTTTGCAAGAACGAAATATACAACGCGCATCGGAGTGGTTGCAAGGTGAGAGCGCAGGGAGCCGGATGCATTTCCGGCATTTGTGGAATTTTGAAGAGACCCTACCGCCACATGGAATTGGCCAATGGCGCAAACCACTCCGCCTTCCAACTCATTTCACTGGTGTCGCAAGGTTACGTTGTCGTGCGGCACGTACTTAATTAGGCGATTTCACCTGTCAACACGATGAGAGACCAGAACGGTGAATCAGCGTGCTGTAGCATCTTCTTCTTAGACCGGCAAATACAGGTGGACGGGAAAGCTACACCGCCGCCGCTTGTCACACTCAGGCGATCGTGTTGGTCCTCCTTCTTCCTCTTTTTCCTGCTACGAACGTTTCATGTCGGTTCTCTCTCTCCCTGATCGACACGCCAACGTACTCAATAAGCACACCGGTTTGAGTATGCCAGAACAACGGTCATACTGCTTCGGTAGACTATACCTGAAGAGGAGGTCCTTGTTCCAAGATGCAAGACTTTTGAGGCTGGCGAAACTCACGCGCGTCCAAAGCGCCGGCACTTGGTTGTTCATGAAGCTTGTGTACATGCGGTCAAGATCCTAACGACAGGGAAAGCAATGAAACCACGTTTAAGAGGGGTGGGGTTGGACGAGTTTTGCGCCGCGATATAGAGGGAATAATTCAGCTGGCAATACAAAAACAGAGACCGCGACAAAGAGAACTGCCCACCATGTTAGGCTTCCTATCCGCCACTTTTGCAGCACGATCCAGAGGGACAAATGCAGGAGATGGGGGAATTTTTCCGCCCTACGTGTTTCAGTCCGGAGTGCGTCATCAACAGAGTCTGCTGACAATTGTCCAACTCTAGGTCTCAATCCTACTTGTAACCTCTTTGTTGCTGATGAACTGCATGATTTGTGTTACAGTAATCGCGCTGAAGTGCAAGCAGTCTTGTTCGGCGGTGCTGCGAGGCGCCGCCCATAAAACTCACCAATAACTGCAAGAACATGGACAACAACGACGAAGACCACCACAACAAACAGACCTGAGACATGACAACGAGCCCCTTGATGGCCTTCTTGAGCTCGGTGATGGACGAGCCCATAGCCGCAAGGAGCCTGTTGAACTTGACCATCTCCTGCTTCAGCACGATCGCCAGCGATGGCAGCAGCCCGTTCTCCTGCACCAACGACGGTAAACAATACCAACCACGATTTCGTTAGAGTACGCATGCTGGTTCGCTGGGGCAAAGGTAAACGGGACGAAGGGGGGACTGTTATGTTGGCGGTGGGGCGGTACAACCTTCCAAGACTGTCCCATTCAAGTGCTTCGAGGTAGAGAAGACACGAAGCGCGATTGAAAGCCGTGGTAGCTACATTAGCCATAGCTTAAGGATCGCAAGCACGGGTCAATCAACACCTGTAGGACGAAGGTGGTAGGTCCGGCGTCGTCGTCGTCCAGAAGCGGCGGGATCTGAGCCTCGAGCTCCTCGGCAAGTTCCGTTACAATATCGTCGTTGCTCCGGCCTCCGCCCGCGCTGCTCTCGCGCGGCTGGAGGGAGAGAATCTGTGTGTACGTGCGCAACGGTATTGTTTGCTATGGCCGCTTGAGTTTGGTATGTCAATGCCCGATGGCCAGCCTGTCACTTAATCGGCGTTTGGTGTTTCTGTCTGACGGTCAGCCGTTCACGTAACCAGCCGAGTTCGAGTGTTCGAACTGGTGTCTCGGCCGTCGGGCGGGCTGTTTAGCGCCTGACTGTGTGTGTTTCCTGATCAGGCTGATAATGGCACCCCTACTTTTTCATGCTTTCTGCCTCTTAGTTGGAGTTGGCGTGTGAGCCATCTCGAGCATTCCCGGTCACGTTTGTCTAGGGATCGGCCGCCGAGTGTCAGAACTCACCCTGGACACTGCTAGATGGTCATCTTGGTGTGCAAGGGAAGCCTTCGCATTCCGATACAATAGCCCCGGTTGTGTATGTGAACATGGAGCTCCCCACAATGCCGATTCCACCGTTACTGTATCTGTCCCCTTTGAAACCTGACCAATGGTCAATATCTTTTTGAGACACCTGGCCAGTTGTCAATACTTTTTTGGTTGTTTCGTCTGGTTAGCGACACACAGGGAACGAGCACTCGCCGTCTGCATGAGGCCCAGCGACTCGTTGGTGTTGAAAGTCACGTTGGCGTTCTCGTGCATACCGAAAATCTCGGGGTTGTCCACCCCAGGAAGCTGCCCGAAGTAGTCGCTCACGCCCTGCGCCAGGAAACAAAAAAACCCACACGCGTGGCACCAGCATTGTTGTGTCCATAGGCTGGGTGGACCCCCTTTCCATTTGTTGCTTTTCCTCCGCAACCCCACTTTTATAATCACTGAGTTGATTTCTATTGACTATTAGGGTAAATCTATCGCCATCTATCGGCCATCCAGGTCGAGCAATCGACGGTTTCGTAGCATAAAACACGCTGTTCCCACGTTCATGTATACGGAATAGTTTTCTGAAGGCGTACGTGGTACGAACTAGACCAGCAAAGCAACGCATTCTCCTCGCCGAATTCTACGTACACGGGTTCTATCGCAACATCCCCAAATCGAACATTGTCTAATTCATGGCCAGATGTTTCCGGTTCCTTTCCAGCCCCATATTGTGGGAGAGCTGTGGATTCTTTGCTAGAGAGAGAGGGGTGTAACTATGCCAATGGTGTATCTAACTGTTGTACGAAACGTGTCCAACATGTTGGCGACCCGTTTTGAAGAGAAATATGGGGGTCCGTGAAATAACGTACCCCGTGTAGAGCCTGGCCGCCACAGCGGTTTCGTTGGTTCGTTCGATAGTGCACATCAACAGCCTGTGTTGAACCAACAATCTCCAACAAATCGAGGGGCCCAATACGTTAAGACGACCGAATCGAAACTTCGCATCAAGACAAACCTGGAAGGGACCAGGGGGCGGTGAGAAGTATATGCCGGAGCCGCTGAACCTGTATCCGGACTTGAGGATTCCATCGTTAATGTAGATCCCCAAGACACTCATGAGGCAGCGCCGGTCCCAGTCGTCGGTGACCCTTCCGCCGTAGTTGATCTGCCCGGTCACGTAGCGAAGTGCATCCCACGGGACCTCGTCCTGCAAGTCACGGCGAGTGCCGAAAATCGAAGCAAACACGACCATCGCACGATTGTGGCATAATGAGTAAACCACGAATTTGTGTACCTGGGGGTGGCATGGGGCACATTGTGGCGGCAACCCGAAGAAGAGGGGCGATTTGCGATGGAATACCAAGTCGGAGCGTGGCAGGGGAGGGGTGGAGTCGCTGAGCTATTGAGCCTGTTAGTACCCTTTGCCAAGTATTTATGGGGTCCTCTTGGCTGGTTCTGGCCGGCAAATCTGCTCTGTTTTCTCAACGCGCTTCAGGTCGAGAGGTAAAAGGCATCGCTACAAAGAAAGTATCCGCCAAAAGCACACCATCGATCGTGCGGACTTCCTCCGCAGCGCGTTCAACATTATTCACCTGCTCCTCGAGGAACTTTCTCATGACCGCGATGGAAGTTTCGAGGTCGGACTCGTCGAAGGCGTACCGAATGTTCCACCCCAGTGGTCCGAACTTCCTTCTTTCCTGTTCAGTTGGGTTAGTTCGGATAGGAACAGAGGAATGGTCACGAAATATTATCCCGGACATCAGCCTAGATTACGCGTATGCGATAGAATGGCGTGTGGCGTGCACCACCTCAGATATCACACGAAGCGTGCTCAGTCCGTGAGCTGCCGGGGATGTTGTCTAGCGGCCGACTCCGAAGATGCTCACTGGAAATAACAAACAAGGCGGTCAAGAGCGGAGGAAGTTTCTCGGGTAGGCAGGGAGGCGGATCCGTCATGAGGCGGCACGTACTGCCCGATCGTAGCGTACCATGTCTCTATAACACGTGTACGTACCTGAATGTTGGCGTGGAAGAAGAGAAGTCCGACGATCATCCTCTTGAACTCGTCCCTCTTGGCGCAAGTTTCCCATTCATCCTCCTTCATAAGGTTCGCCCAAGACCTGGGTTCGAAATCATGGCGTTGGGTCGAGAAAATCTCACATAAGGGTCGCGACAATACCGTCTCCTCCTACACTCCCAAAAAGAAGCGCGTTCTTTGGTGTCGACACCCTGAGAAAATATGCATGGTCGTCCTTTAAGCCTGGTGTCGTGCGTGCCCCCCTCCTCCCTCCTGTAAGCTGGCTACATCGGTCCGGACTTCCCAGAAATAAAATAAGAACCCGAGGACTCCTCTTTGGTTAACAACGCCTTCGTCTTCAATGTGGCAAGCTTGACCTTCATCCCGACCGAAAAAAGCGAGGAAGGAGTGAAAACCGACACCTGTATTGATACCTCCGCGTCCTGTCCATGTGAATTCTTCTTTCGCGCACATTGTTCCCCCCTATCGACTAGCTTCTGGTCACCGGTAGGTCGGTAGCCAGCTAAAGAATCACACAGCCACGCATCCGCACATAACTCAGACACACAACCACACGCACTTCTACCTGGTGACGTTCGCCCTGATGCCCTTGGGCGGCTCGTTGGTCATCTTCACGCCGTTCTGGAGGATAGACACGGGGAAGTACGTGGCCGGCGCGCTGGTTAAGTAGAGGCGGAAGGCCTCGTTGTTGACCTCCGTGGCGTTGGCTAGCCCAAAGACGATCTTCTCCAGTGCGGGCATCCACGACTTGGCAAGCCTGAGAAAAACCGTTGGTTCCAATATTGTTTGTGTACGAGGCACGCACGCACGCTAAGCAACCACCAATATTAGGAGGAGGGTTTACTCATAGCCGTGCATGCCGTCGTCGTTAGACCATTGACCTCGCATTCATATAAAGCCGGGGGCGGAGCTCGCCAGATTTTCACAGAACGAGGCAAACACATCACCGAGCATGAAACATGGTGAGGCCATCGGCGAGTCGCATGGGGGGTGCATCAACAGGTGGAAGAAAGGAGAATTTCAGGTTGGACATTTCGAGAACCCTCCAGTCGACCAGTCCGGCAACGTTTCCCAGGAAGGGTGGTCATGGCGTTGCGGGTTTGCTGGGCATGGTGTGATGTGATTGTGGCATGCACACGTTCAAGGAGACTAACGATTGGACATGTCGTGAGCAAGGTCGGTCGATTCGGTGGTGGGATTTGAAGTTCAAACAGGGGAAGTATAGGGCACATTGTGCGTGTTCGCTCGCATACACGAAGAAGAAGGTGCTCAAGCCTTCTCGAGGGGTTGTGGCTTGCACAAAGTTCAACGCAATTCAATATCGTCCAACGGGAGCGGCTATGGTTTCCCGAGTCTGTTTGGAGCTATGATGTGTTATGAGGCGAAAATATGCAAAATTTATCGGAAAGTTCGTGAAATTGCGAGAGAACACCAAGGAGGTGGCTCTCACCATCCACAAGCTTGCCAAGAAGAGCAACCCCACCGTCATCATCATCGCCACAGAAAGTTCGCAAAGCAAACTAAAGACGCGAACACACAAGCTAGACACACTCACATGCAGTTTTGCAGTAAAACCCAGTCCCCCGTTTTGGTTCCCTTCTCAACTAGCTCTGCCGCGTAGGGCCCCTGCCCTTGGCCCAAAGACACCAAGCTCAGTCGATCCGCGTACCCCATAACCTTGAGACAATTCACAGCATGGGTTGATGGACGTTCGACAAACACGGGTTTGTACAGCGTCCGAATGGGGGGTTAGAGCTCACGTGAGGCATGGCTTGCGCCTCCTGCGGGATAAACAGGGCTTGAGTGGCAGTCGCTGTACCAGGGATGAAGAGTGGAACAGCAGGATAGAAATAACAGAGTAAGGTACATCATGGGCTTGTGCCACGAGCGCTGATTAGATCGCAGGGACTGGGAGGGTTACGGTATTCTGGAAGCGCATCCAGAGAGGGTTTCGACGCCTCCATTCCAAGATGGCGTGTGGTGCTTCGTAGAGCGTACAAATCAAACAGAGGGGGCCCGGGAGAGAGAGAGAGAGAGAGTTTGGTCAGCCCCTCCTTCCGAAGGGTGTCCACGTTGCTCCCAGAAACTACAGCCCTGAATTTATTCAAGAATGTATCTGTAGGTTTGACTAAAAGTACGTGTACGAGACAAACGGACCGTGTAAGGGCGAGGTTGAAGAGCGCCCTTACGTGAATATTCTGCATGGGGTACAATTCTTCGAAAGAATGCGTGCTTCTGTATTTCCTGTATGTGTCGTGACGTATTTCATAGCTGTGTTTCGACCGGCCCATCATTTACACCAGGGAAGGGGATCACCACGAGCGCCTTTCAAGCTTACGTTGCACGTCGAATTGTTCATTTTAGGGTCCCATACTGAGAAAAATATGTATGTTTGGTTTCACCTTCGCGAATCGAAGTAGCATGGACGTCGGGTCGGCGCCGGTGGACAGGATGAAGATGCAGGGGGTCTTGTTATCTAAGTCCGCGTAGATATTCTCCATCGATGCCGAAGGGCTGTTTCGACAATAATCAGTTAGGCAGGTAGGCAGACAGATTGACACGTATAGGAAAGGCGGTAGATGATTCGGTCAGGCTGAACAAGGGGGTCGATGACAGGAAGAGCGTATATGGAGCGTTGTGGAAGAGGAGGTGGGGAATGGCTGTCGCCGACCTTTAGTAGTAACCGTATAGTGTGCACACGACCAAGACGACGTGCACAGCATAAAGCCTGTACTTTGGACGGTCTGCTATGTGCGAACAACACGATTTTGTCACCTCTCCGCAAAGCTGCTGCCGAGTTTCTCTCCGACGAACTTGGCGATACACCGCAGCAGCTGGTCCTCTCGAAACGCCTTGACGAGAAGCAACTTCTGGAACGAGCTCGCCCCTTCATCCTCCTTCCCTTTCCCGAAAAACCAGCCGGGAATCCGCGAGTCGTCCCAGACTTCCCCCTTATCCGCCCAGGAAACCCAGGCCTCCCAACTTTCCGTCAAGCTCTCGCAAAGACCCTCGAGCGGCGAAGATGCAGCACCATCAACACCTTCATCTCCTTCCTCCTCCTGCCCGCCCCCACTTTGGTTGGAGTGGCCACCGCCCCCCACTGCGCGATGCTCCGCGGCGAACAGAAGATCCCACTGCACGGGCGTCAACCGGGCCGGGTTCGGGTTCGGGGGCTGCGCGGACCGGTCTACGGGCCCCGGTCCGCGCAGGAACAGCGCCCACTCCTCCCGGGGTATCTCGCAACGATGCCGGAGGATCTGGAAGCAAATGAGCGCGCTGAAGAGCAGCTTATGCCTCTCGAACAACCCGCGGCAGATGTTTCTGGTGTGTGGGTTGCCGTCAAGGTGGAGAACAGGAGATAAGAAGGGAAGCCGTGTATTTTGTGTAGTGAGTGGCGCAATGGGTAGAGCGAATGAATGGTTGCGTCGTTGACCACACTTTTTGGTGGTCATAAGCAGAGAGCGGGAAGCCCAAAACGTTCGAAGAAGGGAGACGAGGCGCTATGCGGACGTTGAAGAGTTGGAGAAACTTCTAGCACGTTGCTTGCTAGCGCAGGGTATGTTTTCCTCAAGATCCAAGAGCTTTCTCTCACCCGTAGATGACGCGCGTAGAATACGACACTAGATTGGCGAGTCTTCGAGCGAGATCAGAGTCTTTCTCCGCTCCGTCGATGCACCTTCACACCGGGACGGCACACAAAGGTAGGAACCAAGCCACCAACCCAGCGAAAGTTGAGCAGCGGGGTAAGGCGAGCGCAGTAAGGGGCCGTTGGGCAACACGTTAGGTAACGGGGCGATCTGTTTTGGCACAATGTTCAAGCGTCGTCTACTTGCTTTTTCAGCTGTACGTTGGGGGTGAACATGATTGAGGCTCGTGTTCGATATTATCAATACCTGGTATTGCCGGAGATCAACGGGGACCCTTTGACGAAGCACATGAACCAAAGGAGAAAACGTTAGTGCTTTCACAAAACGAAATCCCGGCTTATAATATGCCTATGCTTGTCCGGTACCTCGGTTTTTGCTCACAGTTGGTTGAACACATACCATCTTTGAGTTCGAAGTTCAAGGTGAGCCCATGTCGCCATGATCATGAACGGCATCTGAAAGACGATTCAGGGGAACTTCTTATCAATAACAACGACAACCATTACGACAGTAGCACCACCACCATCACCACCACCAACAACAACACCAACATCGGGTGGCTCCCACCTGTCGAAGAGTGTCTGATAGTACTGGAGCGAGTACTGGTACATCGGGTCGATGCCGGAGAGGTCAGCGATGACGAAGTAGATGATCGACCCTCGCGTGGCGACCGGTGTGTACTTCTTCCGCGCGAGATCGATCTCGATCTCCGTCTTCTCGCTCTCCTCCACCCGTTCCTTGATGATGCTGGAGGTTGTCTTTGAATCCGCGAGGGTGTTGATCAGGACCTGCAAAAGGAACCAAAACTGATCTGTCGGAGCGAGGAATGCCGCCGTCTGTACAACCGCAGCAAGTATGGACTTCAAAACACGTTCAAGCTGTGCCCTATATTTCGGATTAACGGCGTGCGGGAGCCAGACGCGTCCCAACCACTCCAGGTGTTGTCTCGTGTGAGCTTTGAAGCAAAGATAGCGCACTTTTCTGGGGTGGTACTAGGGTAAGAAGTGTCGCTTGTGTTCTATTGCCCGGCGGTGGCACGAGTGAATATCGTCAGGGGATCGGTTGCTTTTCATGAAGAAAAATGCAAAAAAACGCTCACCTCGTCGTCAAGGATGTTTCCGGAGGAGTTGGACAAGAGATAGAGGATCCGGGCCTCCAGGTCGGAGAGCTGTTTTTTGTCTTCGGCCATTCTCAGCAGGAGCTGAGTCTTGCGTTTCTCGATGTCCGGCCGCTCTTTCGCGACGACCTGTTGTTTTCGTTGGTGTTTGGGCATTCGAAGGTACAGCACACCGCGAGATCCGTATCCACCGCCGATGGTCGTGTTGTTGTGGTTGGGGAAGCGGTCTTCTTTATGATATGCTTCCCATGCCACCATGACATGCAGAGCAGCATGATTGCGAGTAATTTGGCTTACGAAAGCTTGTGTTGGTCTCAGGCGTGGTTTCTTGCACGGTTTGGAGAGTTCAGCGTCAACAAGGAAATGTGTAGCGGTCCAGACAATTCCCCCTCGACGTAGCGACAGGCAAATTCACGCTCCATATTTCGAGTCAGCATTTGGGTATGAAGATGGTGTTTGTCTGCCTTGAGACTACGGAACAAGAGGACCTTGACAGAGTTCAGAAAGGCGAAGACAACAACAACGGACAACGGCAACGCTCAAGGACGCATCCCGCACAACTGCTTGTCACCCTCATGGGACAACAATTTCACAGGGCAATCTAGGCATGATATGGTGCACACACAATAGATTGGGGGTATCATTGCCTGATGCATCATGGAGTGAAGTCTGAACTGGATTGTGTTCGAGAGACCAACGGAGTGAGAGTAAAAGATATTGCAATCATGTATGGCACTGCTTTAATCGAGGTAAGTATGACCCTTCAAGGAGTGGCGTCTTTTTTGGCCCGTTTTGGACCCGATTGAGCTTCGTCCAGGGGGTGACCCATCCATGTTCTCAGCGCCGCTTCGCCCGGCGGCACCTTCTCCTGATGGCGAAAGGTACTCTACAAGTGGTTGTCCCACAACGTCTCTTCTTGCCTGTCCTAGTAGCTGATCCTCCAGGCCTTCCATGGTGACGGTGAAGTTGATAATGTTGACCTTGATGCACACCTCGGGGAGGTAGTGTGGGTTGGGCATTTTAGTTGTGAGGTACATCTTGAAGGAGTCGGCGTAGTCCACGTCCGAGTCGCCGATCCTGATGAGAGTCCGGTTTCCTTGCCTGCGTTGTGTTTGGATGCAGTTTAGGGGCATGGCATGCCAAGGCCGGTGAGGCGGAGGAGTTTCTCATGTGCCGGAGTGCAAGGAAGCGGAGGAGAGAGTAAGAGACAGGGGTGATCGGGACACGACCCCATAGGGATGGGGGGGGTTGGGTGCAATTAGGGCTGCAGTGTTGTCGAGTGTCCCCACACACCAGCGCTTGTCTTTGAAGAAGTATCCTTGGCTCGGTCAGGCAACGGGTGCCTCTCCTGCATGTCTCAGTCACATCTACAGAACAGGCTTTAGGTAGGAATAAAGGTCGGTGCGTGATGGTGCCTTGTGCTCCTGATCCTCACTTGAAAGTCGCCTTCTGAAGGACAGGCTCGAGCGCGGGCTCTATGTGCTCCGTGATGTCCTCGATCAGGAGAGGCCGACCGACCCTAATGCAGTTCTCTAGGGACCGTAGCAGCTTGGCATTGGTCATGGTGGTTACCTGGGTCGTCGCCACAGGTGTGCGTGGAATGTCATGGGGGGTTTGGGGCTCGGCACGAAATCAGCTGGCTGGGTTTTTCGAGTATACAGCTTTGCCTGTGGGGGTGGGGTGTAGAGTCAAAGTTTTGCACCAGACGAACAGTTTGTTACAACAACAGAACAAGCAAAAACAGAAACATCACTTGCTTCAATTGGAATTCTCCGTGTTGGTGATCTAGTTATCTGCTCGTGACCGATCAACTAACTGAAACAGAATAAAACCATCTAGAGGCTCATGATCACGAGATGAAACAGAAGATAATTTACCTCGATGTCATCCCCCTCGTGCATCTTCTTTATCCACTTGTTGGCTTGTCCCTGCGGGTCTATCATCAGGGGCCATCTCGTCCCCTTCGCCACTAAAATGGCTGAGTCCGTGGACACCTGAGGTGCGAAAAACAATGCCGGTCATTTTGTTTGTTCGTAGACGCCGCGCATGCGAATTCATTGTCTACGTTATCACCAGACCATGACCAACGAGTCCTTGCAATGCTGAGACCAATCGAAAGCATGTTCGCGGAGCGGGAGGGGGAATCGAGCAGCGCAAGACGCCTCGAAAAATGGAACCCCCAAGGCGAGGGACACCCCCTGTCACCATGACCAGCCCGTAGCGGGGCGGTCTATTCTCGTTTCGTGTTCCACCAATGTTAGTCTATCGTTTTTCCTCTTGGGTTGTGGGTAAGGCCATGAACACCGCGGACGCCAGCGGAGGTTCGACAAAGCGTGTACAGGTCCCACGGAAGCTCGACAAAGTGCCTGTACTCGTTCCCCTGACATTCTGCAATCACCTTATCCGTCGGGAGAGCACAGTTTTGCCACCCTCGAATCTCCACCGGGTCCCCCAGCGTCCCAATCAGGGAGAACCCACCAACGCCATCGCCACCACCGCCATCACCAGTTTCATCGTCCCCGTCTCCTCCGGTACTGTCGCCCCCCCCACTGCAGGGGATGCCTTCTTGCTTGACCCTCTTCATCCAAGTCGCCACGAGGTCGTCGCGGTAGCCCCCTGTGAAGGGGCCATAGTACGAGAGACACCCGCAGGACAAGAACGCGTCGCCGATAAGGTCCACCTGTTCTCGTTCATCGTCGATGTCGTGGGGGCGGTGTTCCGGCGTTTGCGACGGGGTGGGAAAGGGTGCACTTATGGTTTTACGAAATTTTGTGAGAATGGGTGCGTTCACCAATCAACGCACCTGTCTCCAGCTTGGGAGTCCACTCAGGCCTCTGCCTTATTCTTCTGGTGCTATCGCTTTATTCGAAACAGGTCTACACGTATAGAAGTTTGAACGCACTCGGGCAAACACCATGTGTGGCCACTACTGTACAAAAGATAGAATGAAATACACTGGTGCGGCAGGAGGAACGCACACCAAGGCCAAGGATACAGTGGTGCTTCCAGTAGCCGCAGTCTATTAGGCTGAATGTATGGATTTCTCTGGGACAGGCGTTCCCAAGCAATCCAAGACCTTCTGACGAGGTTCTCGTGCCCGCCAAAAGCACCCCCAATCAACTTAGTCGCCTTACGAACACTAAAAACCCCACCATGTTTTTCTTGCACCCCCCAACCCTCCCAGTTCGCGTGACCCCTGTAAAATATATGACATGGTGTCGACTCATGCCTTGTTTGTCAAATCGGCCCACCTTCTGTTTGCCCAGGTTCTCGAGGGACTCAAGCCACCGCACGCCCTCGGACGCAAGGCCGGAGGTCAGCTTCTCCGCTCGCACCAGCCTGTTGGCGGTGGTCTCGGCCTCGTCGGCGAGGCGCTTCTTCTCGCCCACGGTCGCGGCACACTGCGCCTCCAGGGCCTCGACCTTGTCGTTGACTTCTTTCAGCTCCGCCTATTGCAAAGTTTTGTGTGGTGATTGGAAAGTGGTAAAAAACGGAGAGGTCGTGTGGATAGGACAAGATTGGTGGGAGGGTCAGCGGGGTACCCCCTCCAAGCAAGCAAGCGTTGGGGAAGTGGGGTTGCATCATTGGTTCAGCAGCAACCATCCCAAAACACTCGGGTTCTGGTGTGAACAGGTAGTGGGCGTCTTTGCAGAAGCCATGTTTACTATTTAACAGATGGGGCAATGAATGCGGAGAGCCACGGCGAGAAGCGGGGCCTGCTTCTGCTTGCCTCTCGCTCACGCGCTTCCATCCCCGGTGGATGTTGTACAACCCGAAACGGCTTGAGTATATACGTCGCATATGGTAGTAGTACACGACGAGATGTGCAGACTTGTTGAGACGGCCTGCACCACAAGACACAGGCCGCAATGCACGCATACCTGCTTGATCGCCAGGGTCGCATTCGCAGCAGCCAGCAAGCTGTTCATCTCCTCCAGCTTGGCCTTCTTGGGAGCTACGACCTTCGCAACCTGCCGCCGTGAGAAAGATGGGCAGGGCAAAGGGTTGGGCAGAGAGAGGATTCACGAGAGTTGGCGGTGGCCTAAAGGTATAGCCTGCGCACTACCCGCCAAGACGTCGTGGAACCTTGTCTTACGTCGATGAGCGGCAGCGTCGCTTCATCACAAAACTTTACCAAAAATCGCGACGAGCGAAGAAGCAAACTTGTTGAGAAAAATCGACATTTGTTGTTTTTGTTGTTGTTTCTCACACTAGCTCTATAGTCCACAAAAAATGGGGAGCCCGTGGTCTCAAAACCCGGCACATACGACGCCGTGGGGAAACAAAACAAAAATAGGGTACAAACCACTCGGAAAAAGAAGACAAAATGATAGGAAGAAAGAACAGGTATCGCACCGACCGTTCGACAATAGAGCCCTCGGAAACCGATCAAAATAAAACAAAAACAAAAATAAAGGAGGACACTTCCCACACCCGCTCAAAGAAGAAATCAAAGGGTTACGTACCAGCACCAGGCACTACGCACCAGGGCATGGGAGAAACGGAGAAAACAGGACAAAGAGGCGGCAGATGGGCAGACAGCCAGACGTACAAAAAACGAAGGCAACAGCAAAGCGAGATCACGGTACCCAACACAGCAGAGTAGGCAGGGAGGTCA